CTATGATGCTGCAACCAATCTAGCACATACAACACTCCCCTGCTTAAATCTCTTCAATGGCAACCCTAGGGTCCCAGCAGGTGGGCCTACAGGGCCCCAGCCAGCCTCTCATCAGTTTTTTTTGAACTTTACACTCTGGTAGTACCAAGCTGTTAGAAGTTACCTTGAACCCATCCTGACTCCAGGCCAATGACTGTGCTGATCCCCCTATCTGGAACATCCCTCCCACTTTCTTTACGTGGTTCACTCCCAGCTCAGGTATCATCTTTTTTCTGAATGTCAAACTTCTACTTTAGAGCTCTATTACACTGAAGTGATGTGTGGGCCCTCTTCTCATCACTGCCAGTGCAACTGGTTGGTTGGAGCCACCATTATTTGCTGGAACTACTGCAACAGCGTTCTTCTTCAACATCGCACCAAAGGCCTTTGGTGATCTGTCTCTGTCTTTAGCTCTCTTATTCACCTCCTACCACTCTTCCCCTCCTTCTTTCCACTCCAGCAATCAGGAACCTACGGAAACATGCCAAGCTCATTCCCATCCCCTAGCCTTTGCCCTTGCTATTCTCTCTGCCTAGAATACTCTTCCCTTCTAATATGCACATGGCTGACTACTTTTATTCAGGTCTCTGCTCCTTCAATACTCTGGGGATTTTCCTATAGAACCCTGGCTAAAGTGACTCCCTAGTTCATAACCTTTTTAATTATTTCAGTGTCCAAAGCATCTCATTTCTTTGTCTCCTCCCACTAGCCCATCAGCTCATCAAAGTGGTGACTTGCTCATAAGTGCACTCTCAACACTTATGGGTTGACTGACTCCACAGCCAGCATCTTCTCATACCTCAGAACCCCACCCTCAACTACTGCGGCCCCTCCTCCCGCCCCATAGCCCCTCCCCTCTGTCCATAAGCTCCACCCATTCTTCCCATAGACCCCTGTCTCTCCATTTTCAGTCCCACGCCCCAAGGTACATCGCTAAGGTTCCCAGGCTCTCAGGCCCTCCCTCCCCGTCGCCACCATCACTTAGCCCTCAAGCTTCGCTGCTCAGGTTTTGTCCCAAATCTCAGGTCCCGCCCTCCATCCTATGACAGTCACCGCCTCCCCATCCCGTGGATGCACCAGCTGCTGGGCCGACTCTCCGCCAGCCTCACCTTGACTCGGACCCGCACCACCTCTCGCTCCTCCTCCTCAGCGGCCGCCGCTGCCTGAGCTCCCACGCCGGGCGGGGGCGCTCCGGAGCCAGACAAGTCCGAGGCCCCGGAGGCTGCCGCCATCCCGTCGCCTCCGTCTCAGGGTGACGGCAGACAGTTGGCCCCCAACCCGGCGCGCACTCCACTGAACTGACGCCCGCCGCCCCACCTCGCGCCAGGGCGCAGGCGCAGAGGGCACGGCGCGACCCTCCCCCCAACCGCCCCGCCCACCCAGCCCTGCCTTGAGGTCGCCTCTGCGCCTGCGCCTAGAGTGCTGTTGCCAGGAGTCCCGCCCCCCAAAAGTAGGGCGTTTTGCTTTATTTCAGCTAGCGAGCAGATGCCTACTGAGGCCCCGCCTCCCCCAGGCCCATGGTTTGGTTGTTTTGACAGTCTACTTCCGTATGCGCAGAGGTGTTAAGCTGACACCTCGTTCGCCGAGAGAAATGGGCGGGGAAAGGAAGCTGCTGCGTGATGACGTCAGACCCCACTCCCCGCCTCACGTTGCCTCACGCTTCTGCTGACGGATGATGTCATACATTTCAAATACCGTTGGCCCTTGCTTTAAATGAATCCACTGAACGGAAAAAAATCCTTTTTTTTGTTTTTGAGGCAAGGTCTCGCTCTGTCACCCAAGCTGGAGTGCAATGGTGCGATCACAGCTCACTGTAGCCTCAAAGTGAGCTATGACCAAGCGATCCTCCCGCCTCAGCCTCCCGAGTAGCTGGGACTACAGGTGCGCGCTACCACACCCAGCCAATTTGTGTATTTCTTGTAGAGACCGGGTTTAGCCGTGTTGCCCAGGCTGGTCTCGAACTCCTGACCTCAAGTGATCTGCCCGTCTTGGCCTCCCAAAGTGTTGGGATTACAGGTGTGAGCACCGCCCACGATCAAAGTGTTTTAAAAAATATACTCGGCAGGGCGCAGTGGCTCACGCCTTATAATCTCAGCACTTTGGGAGGCCGAGACGAGTGGATCGCTTGAGCCCAGGAGTTCTAGACCAGCCTGGGCAACACAGCAAGACCCTGTCTCTAACAAAAAAATTAAATAATTAGCCGACGTGGTGGCGCACACCTGCAATCCCAGCTACTCCGGAGGCTGAAGCAGCAGGATAGCTGAGCTTAGGAAGTCAAGGCTGCAGTGAGCCGTGATCACACCACTGCAGTAACCTGTACCACAGGGCAAGGCCCTGTCTCAAAAAAAAATTAATAATTTACACCTTGACTTAGTAAAGTCAGATAAAGAAGAAAAAGGAAAATGCTTTACGCGTTGTGAAAATTCATGGAGATTTTGTACATTGATGATTTTTGTACTTTCTGTATGAATGTTATACTTCATTAAATAATTCATCCCAAAAAAACACTTTTATGCTCTCTGGAGTTCTAGCTTTTTAGTTTGCCGTTGTCTGAAACTTGACGAGATCATACTTTCCCAAGTTTATACAGCTGGGAGGAAAACTTACAGGTAATTCCACTCCAGGAAGAACACTAATGCTTCTAACTGAAACCCAGGGAGAAGTTAACAATCAAGCTTTCAGAAGACAGAAAGCGAGACAGCCCCAGGGAGCTCAGCAGCATGTCTCTAAAGCTCTGCCATTATGGAACCAGCTCAAAGGACCCCCGGTCTTTGTGTCCCTTTTCCAAGTTTCACATTCTCAGATCTTGGGGAATCACTAAATCATTGGAAGAGCCCTCTGTCCAGCTTGGTCTAGAGATTTCTTTGAAACCTGACTAAAATTTTGGTACTGACTGCCAGGGACCCATTAAAAGAGAAGTGGCCAGCCTCAACTATGAACCAATCAATGGAGCCTAAATGATACCATCTGTAAAAGATCAGCTTCCTGGGGTCCCAGAGCAGGGTGGATAATGAATCTGGAACAGCAAATGGGAAATGCCCAGCAGAACATGCAAAAGGCTTAGTAATGTGCTGAGCACACAGTGCTCAAAACAGTGAATGGAAGAAGCCAAGAATAAGTGAAGAAAAATTTTAAAAAATAAACTGAGTCGGGCACAGTGGCTCACACTTGTAATCCCAGCACTTTGGGAGGCTGAGGTGGGAGGATCACTTGAGCCAGGGAGTTTGAGACCAGCCTGGACAACATAGGAAGTCCCTGTTTCTACAATTTTTTTTTTAATTAGCTGGGTGTGGTGGTGTGCACCTGTGCTGCTAGCTATTCGGGAGGCTGAGGTGGGAGGACTGCTTGAGCCTGGGAGGTCCAGACTGCAATGGGGCTGTGATGATGCCACTACACTCCAGCCTGGGTGACAGAGACCCTGATTAAAAAAAAAAGACCCACAAAAGTTTGCTTTTGTCTTACTTAATCTTCATAACATGTTAAGGTTGGTTCTGTTCTTAAATAGTATATGTCTACTAGATATTGGCTGATTTACTGAATATATCTTAGACTCTTCTGAGAAACTTTATGTATGGCAAAATGCAAAAAGGCACTCTTCCCACTTCATTGCACAACATGGGTGTGATTTAGACAAAATACAAGCTGCACTTACAAATGTTATTTCCAACAATGGAGTCTTGTAAGATATTAGCACTTCAACAATTGTGTCTATGTGATATGGGTGCTACCCTTAAGGTTAACTTTTTAGGCAAGTCTACAATTCTATTTTGGTGTGTTTTAAAATAACATGTTGCCTTGGTATTAATATTAAATAGATATCTCTATTTTTAGAAGGTATAAATAATGGAGATTTTTTCTGAAAGCCAGAAGAGGGTTATGGGCATGTCTCTCTTGCTCCACATGCTTAGAGTCAAAATCACCTATAGCATGGCTGGATTTTCTGATGGAAACAAGGAGTAAGAGTCTGCTTTTCATTTATTATAGGGTGGGATGTGCAAAGCATTAGCCTGGAATTTGGAATCGATCCTGAGGGCACTGGGGCAAAGGTTTAGACAGGGGTATGATGTGGTCAGATGCCTCTGTCTTGGTCCTGGGGAAAGCCTTGGATGGAAAGATACTGGAAGCAAGAAGATCAAAAAGGAGGTCCTTGCCATAGTCCTGGGGAGAACTTTCTCTTTTGTTTGTTCATTCTTCCATTCAACAAATACAAAGTGTATGCTAGGCAGTCTACAAAAATTAATTCTTATAATCTACATAAAAACCCTATGAGGTAGTATCTTAGTCCATTTTTCTGTTGCTATAATCAAATGCCCAAGACTGGGTAATTTATAAAGAAATTTGGGAGGCTGAGGTGGGAGGATTGTTTGAGGCCAGTTCAAGACCAGCCTCGGGAACATAGCAAGATCCTGTCTGTACAAAAAAATTTAAAAATTAGCTGGGCGTGGCAGCATGCCTGTTGTCCTAGCAACTTAGGAGGCTGAGGCAGGAGGATTGCTTATGCCCAGAAGTTTGAGGCTGCAGCGAGCTGTGATCGTGCCATTGCACTCCAGTCTGGGTGACAGAGTGAAACCCTGTCTGAAAGAAAGAAAGAAAGAAAGAGAGAGAGAGAGAGAGAGAAAGAAGGAAAGAAAGGAAGGAAGGAAGAAAGAAAAAGAAAGAGAAAGAAATAAAAGAAAGAAAGAAAGAAAGAAAGAGAAAGAAAGAAAGAAAAAGAAAAAGAAAGAAAGAAAGAAAAAGAAAAAGGAAGGAAGGAAGGAAATGAAATTTATGTCTTACAGTTTGGAGGCTGGGAAGTCCAAGGTTAAGGGGTCACTCTGTAGAGTGGCAAGGCAGAGCAGGGCATCACATGGTGAGGGGCTGACCTTGCTAGCTCAGATCTGTTTCTCCTTTTAGAAAGCTACTAATGCCCCACCCTCATGACCTCATCTAATCTAATCCTAATTACCTCCCAAGGTCCCATCTCTCAAATATCGTAGTCGGATTTCCCACCTTGTTAATACTGTTAAAATAAAGATTTCGTTTCAACATGAGTTTTGGAGGGGACAAACATTCGAACCATAGCAGGTAGGTGTTACTATTCTTAGCATTTTATAGATTACAGTACTGAAAGCCAGGGAGATAGAAGCTCAAGGTCAAAGTGGGTAGTGTCACAGAGAGTAGGCAGTGCAATGGACGGAACTTGGAGCTATGCCTGTTGTGTCTGAGGAAGAGCAAGGAGGTCAGCATGCCTTTAAGTAGAGTGAATAATAGGCGAGTGACAGCAGACAAGGTGAGAATAGAGTGAGATCATGCAGGGCTTTGACCATAAGAGTGAGGCATTTCTCCAAAGCTATATACTGTAGGCCTAAGCAGAGCCAGGATTTGAACTGAAGTCCGCAGGTCCCTTGATATTTCTTCTTTTTCTTTTTTATTTTTGAGACGGAGTTTCGTTCTTGTTGCCCAGGCTGGAGTGCAATGTTGCGGTCTCAGCTCACTGCAACCTCTGCCCCACGGGTTCAAGTGATTCTCCTGCCTCAGCCTCCCAAGTAGCTGGGACTACAGGTGCCCGCCACCACACCTGGCTAATTCTTTTGTATTTTTAGTGCAGATGGGTTGCACCATGTGGGCCAGGCTGGTCTTGAACTCCTGAACCTCAGGTGATCCACCCTCCTGGGTCTCCCAAAGTGTTCGGATTACAGGTGTGAGCCATCGCGCCTGGCCTTACACAAGTCACTTGAAGCCAGTCTCCAGGTATCTGTGGTTTTACTATTTATTCTTCTCCATCTCTTCAAAACTTCTCAAGTACCCGATTGTTTTATGACTGAGGGTTTATAAGGTAATGATAGCCTGCAGGATGAGTGATGGGGGTCTGTAGAGTAAGTGAGGGGTATCTGTTAGGTGAATGACAGGTCTGTGGGGAGAGTGATGGGGGATCCCTGGGGTAGATGGGGGTCTGTGGGTGCATGATAGGTAGACTATGAGGTAAGTCATTGGGGTCTGTGGGGTGAATGAGGGCATCTGTGGGTGAGTTATGGGGTTACATGGTGAATGGTGGAGGACTGTGAGTTGAGGGATGGAATGGTGGTATGATGATAAGGGGCCTGTGGGATGAGAGATGGACTCTGTGGGTTGAATGATGGGTTCTGCAAGGTGAGTTATGGGGTGCTTATAGGGTTAGTAAAGGAGGATCTGTAAGATGAGTGCTGGGTCTGTGGGGTCAGTGATAGGGGCTGGTAGGGTGACAGATGAGGTGCTTCTGGGGTGAGTTACGGGATCTTCAGGGTGAAGATGTTGAGGTGATAGGGGCCTGTGGTGGTGAGTTATGGGGTTTCTGTGGGGTTAATCATGGGCAATCTACGGAACAAATGAATGTGTTTGTAGGGAGTGATAGGCATCTTATGGGTTGATGGGGCATGTCGGGGGAGTGATGGGGGACCTGTAGAATTAGTGATGGGATGTCTGTGAGGTGGCTTATCAGAAGCCAAGAGGCTGAGTGATGGAATGTGTGTGGCAGGAGTGCTGGAGGCTCTGTGAGGTGAGAGCTATGGCATCTGTGGGAATGTTATGAACTGATGTCCTCCTCCCCAAATTCATATGTTGAAGCCCTAACCTCCAATGTGACTATATCTGAGATAGAACCTTTAAGGAGCTAATTAAGGTTAAATGAGGTTATAAGGGTGGGGCCCTAATTTAACAGGATTGGTGTCCTTACAAGACTAGTGTCCTTACCAGGGACACTGGGGGTCAGTGCACAAAGGGCCACGTAAGGACACAGCGAGAAGGTAGCCATTTGCAAGCCAAGGAGAGAAGCCCCACCAGACACCAACCCTGATGGCACCTTACCCTTGGACCTTCTAGCCTCCCAAACTGTGAGAAAATAAGTTTATTGTTTAAGCCACCTGGTCTGTGGCATTTTGTTATGAAAGCCAGAGCCAATGAACACAGGGGAGGATAAGGGTTTGTGGGGTTAGCGATGGGGCCTATGGAAGATATGATCAGGGCACAATAAACTGAGTGATAGGAATCTGTGGGGTAGTGATGGAGGAGTCTGTAGGGTGATGGGGAGCCTAGGAAGTGAATGATGGGGTTTTGAGTGGCAAGTGACAAGATTCTGTATGGTTAATGATGGGGGCTGTCGGGCGAGTCTGTAGGGGAAGTGTAGATGACTGAGGAATGGGGATGTGTAGATGACTGATGAGGTTCTGTGGGGTGATGGGGGCATCTGTGTGGTGGGTGAATGACTGGGGGGGCTGTAGGAGTGCTGATGTGCTGGCTTGCAAGGTGAGGGGCTTTGTGGCATGAGAGATGGAGAGTCTTCAAGGTGAGTGGAAGACACCTGTGGGGTTAGTAATGGGGTGCCAGTGGGGTGAGTGATTAGAGCTTTGTAGAGTCAGTGATGAGTGAGTCTGTAGAGTGAGTGAAATGACTAGGGGGGGCCAATAAGCTGAATGATCCAGGGGTGGGGTCTGTTGGATAAGTAATGTGGCTCTGTGAGGTGAATGACATGAATATGTAGGGATCATGATGGGGCCTGTTGGGTGAGTGATGGGGGATCCTTAGGGTTTGTGATGGGAAGTCTATAGGGTAGGTGTTGGGGGGGTCCATGTGGCAGCAATGCAGGTGGATCTGTGAGCTGAGTAATCAGGGCATATGATGGCGGTCTGTGAGGTTAAGTATTGGGGAGCGAGTGGGGTGAGCACAGAGAGATACTACTGACTGAATTGTATCTCCCCAACATTCATGCTGAAGCTCTAACCCTTAGTACTTCAGAATGTGACTGTTTGAAAATAGGGCGTTTTGCTGGGC